ATATACCAAATGAATGCCTAGGTGTACTATTAAGTTTTTCTGCAAGACGAGGGCAGGTATGCAAGCAAGATTCAAGGTCCTTGTCCTGTGCACCAAGTCCATGTGTGAATTTGCCCTAAGTTTTAAGAAAGTTTTGTTTCCTAAATTGTCTGCCTTCCTTTGAAACTTGTAAAATAAAGAGTGACCCATGAATGTGTCAGCTCTCTCGTATCCAAAGCACCACGAATGCTGAAAGACTACTTTCTGAATGCTAGAGATGTTTTATCTGTCTTCGAAGCCTGGCCTAAGGTTTCAGAAAAGCACGACTGAGAGTTACCCTGAATAAACAGGTTCCAGGGAAGTGTATGTTTTCTGTTGGAGATTTTGCAAGCCTCTTATACTGTCAAAAGTCACAATTAAAACTATGCTAGAAAGCTGAATTGTAAATATTGTTGAGTCTAAGCGGCTATAGATATTTTTTTCATTGTCACATTTTATTGTCCTTTTAAATTTCTGGTTAGAGCTGATCAATTCTAAAAGCACCACTACAAACAAGTCCAACAAGAAAAAAAGGTAGAAGGTGTGTGTGGTGGGGGGAATAGAGAGAGGCCAATGTGGCTTCACAAAAAACTCAAGAGAGGACCTGAAAACAAAAAGGGGCACATACAGGAAGAAGAAGGGAGGCCAGGCCACAAAGGAAAATTACAGAATTGCAGGAGAGGCATTAGAAAGGAAAAGCTGAGAATGAATTGAGAATAGCAAGAAACATTAATAGCAACAACAATAAAAACCCATTCTTCAGTTACATGCGTAGCAAAAGACGCAGAAAAGAAATAGTGGCTCTGCTACTCAATGAGGACAGCAAAATGACAAACCACAAAGAAAAAGCAGAAGTGCTAAGTTCCTCCTTTAGCTTGCTTTTCTCCCAAACATCTTTGACCCACCTGGCATATGTGAAGTTCAAGTGGAGGGGACAGAATTGCAGCTTCACATTGATAAACATATAGTCAAGGCCTACCTCATTATTTTGAATGAGTTCAGATCCTCAGAGCCGAATGAACTGAATTCAAGAGTATTAAAGTGACTGGCAGAAGAACTCTCAGAACCACTGTATTTTATTTTCTTTAAATCATGGACGGTGGGGAAAGTCCCAGATCATCAGTGGAGGACTAAGACTGTCCCTGTCTTCCAAAACGAAGAACCCAGGCACTACAAACCAATCAGCCTGATATCAAACCTGGAGAAAATCCTGGAGCAGATTATAAAGTGGTCAGTCTGTAAATCTTTTGGAAACAATGCAGTGATAACTAGAAGCCAACATGGATTTGTCAAGAACAAATCCTGCCCGAATAAAATTATCTCATTTTGTGATTGTGTAACCTCCTGGCAGACTTTGGGAATGCTGAACACATAACATATCTTGATTTCAGCAAAGCTTTGACAAAGTGCCTCATGATATTCTGATTAGCAAGCTAACTAAGTGTGGGCTAGATAGAGCAACTCTCGGGTAGATAAACAGGTAGTTTTAGAATTAATAGAGATTACTTTTCAATGGCTCATTCTCAAACTGGAGGGAAAGTAATAAATGGGGTACCACAAGGCTCAGGAATAGCTATTAACCTGGAAGATAGAAACAAACTTCAAAAATATCTTGATAGGCTCAAGCACTGGGCTGAGAAAAACAGAATGAAATTGAACAGGAATAAGTGAAAATATCTACACCTAGGTAAAAGAAACCAAATGCACAGTTGCAAAATGATGATGATGATGAAGAAGAAGAAATAGATAGATAGATAGATAGATAGATAGATAGATAGATAGATAGATAGATAGATAGATAGATAGATAGATAGATAGATAGATAGATAGATAGATAGATAGATAGATAGATCTTGGAATTATCTTTAGCCTAAAGGCAACAGTATTCAAAATAACAGTGATTTTGACCATTGTCATCTTGACATCTCTCTGCCGCATACTTTCTATTAATATACTTCAGGGTTTGATACTTACTCCATTGGGCACCCTTGAAGATGAACTCATATGTGCTGTGCTGTATGTCTATGCTGCAGACAGTACCAGTCAGCAGCGCAGAGTCAAAAAAGCTACGGTGACCACTAACTCATTCTACAGTTACAGTATCCAACTACATGTTGCCTTGAATATTTATAGCAGACACTGTTTGACCTTAATAATCTGCTGTACAACTCTTTGAAGCAGAACACAAGTAATTATATATAGATATCTGTCATGATCTGTTACTATAATTCATGTTGTATAGCGGGCTATGTTGAACCAAATTCTGTGGTAGAGTATCTCCCATGATAACCATGTTTGTGACATGGACACAAGATTTAGAATTTAGCTCTCATAAATCACTTTCCCACGGTACAGTGAAACAAAATAAGCATCTTTATTTGCATTGATTATTATTTCTCTAAACACAAGGACATCAGCAGAAATAATTTGGGGGTGCAGGGATGAATCTACTATGAAACTAATGAAACTTAAGCTTCAGGGCTCCTAATCCCAGAGGTGCCCCAGAAGCAATTTTAGTCCACATGTTTTTAAAAATGATGTGGTGATGCATCATGGAATAAAACTATTGAAGAAGATAACAGTAGTTACTCAGAACTTGTTGCTGGTTGTGGAGCCCTTCCCCCCATAACAGTTCAAGCTTCAGGGAGCCCAAAAACCTCTGAACATGTATTTAGCAATGTATTTTAACCTTTAAACTGTCATACATTGCACAGCATCATTCAAAGAAGTACAAAATCTAAATAGTAGCTGAGTTTAGATTACAGTGGTACCTCGCAAGATGACAACCCCACTAAATGATGAATCCACATAACTATGACTTTTTGCGATCGCTATAGCGATTCGCAAAACAGTCATTCCAATGGGGGATTTTCACTGGACGTCAATTAGATCCGTGCTTCACGAACTGTTTGTTCGCAAGACGATTATTTTTTTGGCTTCGCAAAATGGCTGCCCTGTGTTTTCCGGACCCATGCTTCACAGGGCAGCCATTTTTACAGCTGATCGGTGCTTGCAAAATGGCTTCCCTATGGGTGATCTTCACTGGACGACGAGGTATTTTCCCCATTGGAACGCATTACACCGGGTTTCAATGCATTCCAATGGGGAAACGGTTTTTGCATGACGACGATTTCACTAAACAGAGATTTTCATGTGATGGATTATCATCGTCATGGGGGGCACCACTGTACTTTGTATCAGATTCCACCAAAGCTTAAATTCCTCACACCCACCTACTTGTAGCATGCCACCCTTCAAGCACCATAGCCTTCCAGGTTTTTAGAATGCCTAAAATTCTGAATATCATGCAAAATTCAAAGGAAAAAACAAAGACAAAACATGTGGCAACTTAAAGACCAATATATTTTAATGTGAGCTTTTGTACATATGTCAACTTCATCAGACATAAGGAAACAGAATGAAATAATAGATGAAATAACAGTTTCATAAGTAGGAAATATTCATTGGTTGTAGGAATCTTGGGTGTGTGATGCATCTCACATGCAGTGATTTATGGCCTACGGTTGATTTTGGCCTTTGTTGTAAACATTCCTCCAGGAGACAGAAAAGAGACACTAGGCCTAGAATGTCTTTAAGGTGCCACATGTTTTTGACTTTATTTTGTTTTTTTGGATTTTGCCTGGTATGCTTGCATAGACTAACACGGCTACCTCTTCTAAAACTACAGCTATAAAATTTTGAATTGCATCTGCTGCATTTGTTATCTTTCTAAGGGTCAGACTATTCATAAAGTGACAGATATGTGAAGTGTCTCCTTTTTTCAGAACTTTACAGTACATTTAGGGGGCTCCCGAGTGCATTGGAGCAGACTCAACTGTATCTACGCTTCCCCTGTGGAACATTTTTGCTCAACGTTTTTGTTAAAAAATAAAAATGAAAGTCCATCACCAACTTGCTTTTCTTTCTGCATGGGAAAGGGATACCTGAATGCAATTATTTTTCCCAGTGGGACAGGAAAATAGCTTGACCAGGACAACCTAGACTGGATAGATGGCCCACAACAAAGCACTGACTCTACTGTTCCTAGGACAAATTCAGATTCCCCCATGACTGTAAAGCAGAGAAGCTGCCAGGAGACATTTCATTCTAGGACACAAAAACCCTAAGCCTCTGCATTATTTGTCTGGTGAAACTGTCAGGGTCCAGGCAAAGTTGAAGGTTTGGAAAGATTGGAAGGATATGTAGGAGTTTTAGAAATATTAAAGGAATTTCAGCAGTATCAGTGAAACATTTATTGAGGCTTTATGTACCTGCAAATCATACTGAATCCCTTTCTCAATATGATGGGAATATGTGATGACACTGGATTTCTGCTGTGACATTGAGGGCAACCAGGAAAAATAAAGGGCTGTTTCACCTCCTCACCTCACCATTGTTTCTCTCAATGTCTCATAAAAGAAATCCAGTGGGGCGGATTGCCACTCTCTTCTCTAGTTGCTCTCAGCTTGAGGTGCTGAATCGGTTTGATGACCCACAATTATTTAATACTGTTTAATACTGAATGTGTATTGTGGGGAAGGAAGATCTACTTCCCAAGAATCTAATTAGCACCAGCAGGATTCTGTCCTTCTGATACTAAGTTGCAGAGTCATGATAGCGACTATAGCTGCGAGATAGACTCCTAAATCATCCCCTTCGGCATTTTATGATCCCAGTAAGAAACAAGCTGCCTGGCACCCAAAAATTAACATCCCTAAAACAGTGCCTGTTTTTCCTTGAGCTGTGAAGGAGAAATGCATGAACTCAGCAGGTGATTTTAGGCAAGCTAGTGACTGGCTGGCTGGCTGAAAAGCTAGCTGGCTAGCTTCCTTCCTTCCCTGCACCATTAATGTGAGGATAATGGTGGCCTGTCTTGTAGGGATGACAGTTGTAAAAATCACTAAAGCTATGTATAGAAGTTGGTTAAAGAGCTCAAGGTTGTTGTCTTATTAGTCATTATTTATTATTGCTGCTCTCTCCAGGGGCCTGGCAAAACTGGCACTGACTTTGCCCTTGACTGTGGCTCAGGAATTGGCAGGGTCAGCAAGCATGTCCTTCTTCCTGTCTTCAAGCATGTGGAGCTGGTGGATATGATGGAAAATTTTCTGGCCGAAGCTCGGAACTACCTGAAGGGTCAGGAGGACAGAGTTGACATGTGCTATTGCTGCGGCCTCCAAGAATTCACACCCACATCTCAAAAATATGATGTCATTTGGATTCAGTGGGTTTCAGGTTAGTCCTGTAACTTTGACACCATCTCACACCGAGGCAGCAAAAGGAGAGAGGACACAATCAGTCGTGCCCCCAGAACCGGCCGGTCCACTTACAGCACTGCACGCGTGGCTGGCATCATCATCAGTGCACCAATTGCAGCAGTAGCCCAGCTGCCACAGCCCTGTCTCCCTACCCACTTCACCACTCTGGCAAGTGGGCGGGAGGACGAGTCTCCCCACTCAGTGGCAGAGTGGCAGGGCAAGTAGGGAGAGGGGGCTGATGATGAGCCAGCCACTCACACTGTGTGCCATGCTGTAAGTGGACCAGCAGGTTCTGGAGGTGGGAGGTAATTGGGCCAGCCACCTGTGCTGGCAGGCTTCATATTAATTTATAAATACAAAGCCCCCATCTCAAGTATTCATAACGGAGTCAGCACATCTGATCTGATTCCTGTTTGGCTGCATTGCATCTTTATTCATATTTTACATTTCAGATGAACACCAGAAACATCACAAGATACACACCAAGAGCACAACATGTCAAGCAGCCCACATTAAATTAATGGCAATAATAGCTGAGTCGTGATTTCTTTCCCTACATCGTTTTTTAATCCACATTTTACACACACAGACAGACAGACACACTGAACTGTTTTTATTCTTTTGGGAGGGAAATATGGGAAGTCGTGCTGTGTGGCAAAGCAGGTGAGAGGGTACATTTTATCATAAAAGATTGCATGTAAGGTCTATAAATCAGGGACACTGTTTATCATCCCTCCTGCAACACAGCTGTGACTGCAGCTGCTGACTTTGCAATTTCCTCCACCTTTCAGAACATTCCAGAAGGCTAGATAATCATATACTACACTGTGGGATTGTGGCTCAGTGTCCTTGCCACATCAAAACCATGTCTTACTGCCAATGGATTGCATTGCAGGACTTCTTGGACCCCCTCTCTTCCAGACACAATCACTGCAACCTGCAATATGGGAATAATAAGCAAGGCAGCAATCTCATCAACAAGAAGGGAGACCCTATTCATCCTGATAGATTTTTTTTCTGGTGTTGCCACTATCCACATGGCTGTCTTCTGAGGTAATATTTTAGAGAGGAAGGGAACTTTGCACATCTACTACCAATAACCTTGTTCTATTGCAACAGTTTACATGCAAGTAGTCACTTGATTCAATAGAAAATACAATCTTGACCTACTTTACATTATGCAGGAAACTTGACAGACAAGGACTTGCTCAGTTTTTTAATCCGCTGCCAGAATGGCTTGAAGGAGAATGGGATTATCATCCTCAAGGATAATGTGGCCCGCGAGGGCTGTGTCCTGGATCCACTGGACAGCAGTGTACTCCGGGACCTGAACATCCTCACCAGCCTCATTGAAAAGAGTGGACTCACCATTGTGAGGCAAGAAAAACAAGAGGGCTTTCCTGAGCAGTGTGTCCCTATCTGGATGATAGCCATGCAGAATAATCCCAGTCATACCAGAAATGGGATGTTGTAGTAAGTACTGCGGTCTATAATAAAGGACTAGCAATCAAGGGAGAGGTCTAACCTTGCTTTCATTTGTAAAAAATTCTGTAGCTATCAGCTTTGACCTGAACATTTTAACTCAGGGAGGTTCACAGAAGGAAATTTTCCTCTCTTTTCCTCTATGCTGGAGCTTGTTCATCCCATGAAAAGCCTCTTTAGAACCTAGGTGTGTTCTTATGAATAATGTGGGAAGAGATGTGGAAGGCAGCTGGTGAAAGGAGGAAATTCTCTGGTTTGGATTCTGCTGAATTGGGGGGGGGTTCTCCTCCCTCCATTAGACCCCCCCCCCACTTCCTATTTGGCATTATTCAATTACTGTTGATTTTCTATAGAGGCTTTTCGTAGAACATGGAGGAAAGCAGACTGGAGAAGGAATAGGAAAACTTGTAATGAAATTAAGTTCTCTTAGGATCAAAATCAAAGTCTATATAAATAATGAACAAGACACACTCGAGACATTAAATCCTTCATTTTGTCATGGTAAATGTGTATGTCCCACCCTGGAATTCTAAACATTACTGTGATAGTATCTGGGAAAAACTCTCAGACTGTTTACTTGATTTGAATACCCAATTCTTTGAAGCACAATTAATCATGATGGGTGATTTTAATGCCCACATTGGACAAAACTGGAAATCATTCCAACAAACCACACATCTCAATTTGGAAGAATTCCCACAAATGAAAGATAGATGTTCCAAGAATCTTGTTACAAATATTCAAGGAAAGCTCTTTATTCAAATTATTTTTCATGCTGATCGCTACATTTTGAATGGCTCCTAGAGGGAAGACCTCATGGGGGAATTCACATTCATCAATCACATGGGTGCTAGTGTAGTCAATTACATTGTAATCTCCTCAACCATGGTAAAGCTAATTATTGCATTCAAAGTAGACTAACATACAAGAATCTACATTTTGTTGTAATTGAGCAAGAGTGAATTTTTAGAATTTATAATGGTTATGGCAATCTGAGAATATGTACGTTTTGAGAGTCTCCTCAGAGGACATGAAACTTACATTAGATTGCTATGCTTGTTTTTCAGCCCTTGCCTATGTCCTGTTAAGCATATGAATGTACACTTAACACTGCAGTCTTAAATTGGAATTGTAACAGGCAATTACAGTGATTTCAAACTGTATGTATTTTGTTTGTTAAGATTGGGCAGAAGAAGAAAGCACCTCAGAGCATGAAGTGCAACATATAAACTCAATGACAGTGTATTGTGTGCAAGGTTTCTTTGGATGAAGGATGGGCAGGTAGGCAACTTTTTGCTACCAGCATTTGTCATGAGCTACTTTCAAAAACACACACCTTCCCATTTTTATGTTTCAAGGGAGTTGGGGGAGTTCCTATGCTGGAGGGTCCATGCAACCTCCCAGCATAGAAATCAATGCCTTGCTTTAATCTTACTGGGGCCACATGCATAGAGGGTTTGGAAAAGGCCTGTATGGTCTATGGGCTGCACTTTGTCCACTCTAACTTAAATGTAGATTACCAAGTGTTGATAGAATGACAGACTAGGTGTCAGAGGACCAGAATTTGACTCTCTGATTCGTGATGGAAATTCACCAGGGTGGGTGGGAATTGATGGAACTGATTAAAAAAACACACACTCCTTAAATACTATCTCACTTTCCACACATAGTAAAAAAAACACTCCTTAAATATCTCACTTTCCACACATAATAACAAGCTTAGATATAATGTAGAATGTCCAGGTAAGAGTCCAATCACATCCTGTCCCCTAATGTTTGAAGGTCCTCTCTTCAGTGGATTGCTTTATCTTATGATCAACAGTGACTTCAAATAGTTCTGTCCTCTTTGAAAGCTCTGAATGTCCACCCTGTTTTAGGTGAACATTTTTTTCAGGTGCCCCGAAATGAAGGGATCAATGGGAGAATGTTATTGTTTCTCTATTAATGTTGCATAAGGTCGGGCAGGGGTTCCATGAACAAAGATGTTACTGTAGGTGGACTATTCACTTAATTCTTTTTTACTCCCCACAGAAGCCTGTTAGCACATTTTAAAAGCTAGTAGCATTTTGTAGTGTGCTAATCTTGGGGCTGTAATATTTCTCTAATTGACAGCTTGCTGTCCTTCAGAAATTCTATGTCTGTATTATGATAGCTGCAATGTGAACTTAGCTTTGCATCTACTGTTACATATACTGTACTCAGAGTTGTTGCAGAATGTAGCACCATTCAGCTTTTTGAAAAATCACAACCTGTAAAATTGGTTTATAATCTCTGTGGCCATGAAGTGCTTGGAACATATGGGTGATGTTTATTTGTGCATCTTTTTCACAGTATAACTAATTGTAGTTTTTGGCACTGCTATTGAGCTCAGATTTATTTTACTGAATTTTTGCTACCCCACCACCAAACGCGCCAATTGGTACCACTCTTATAATCACAAAAACATTAAATGTTAGGTTGCAGCTGGGTCATAGTAACTAAGTTACTCAGAGGAATGACAGAAGTAGGAGGTTTGGAACCATAAAGGGCCAGGCTTTAATAGGAGAAGAGTGGTAAGGATTACTCATGTTACCCAAGGGTAATAATGTGTTTTGTATTGATTTCATAACTCAACTGAAAAGTATACATGCATCTAAAAGCCTGTCCACACTGGCATATAGTTATCTGTTAAGTCCAGATATATAAACACATGCAGAAAACTGAATATGCATTCAAATCCATTATTAAGGAACAGCTCTTTTAAGTACAAAACTTCAGCTAAGAAAAAGCTGAACTTAAAAATTCAGTTACACTTGCAGTTCTATGGCCCAGAGGATTATTTAGTTACTTGGACATCATCCTAAACAGGTTACAATTAAAAATATTATTCCTCTTTCTCAAAAGTAATTATAGTAATTCCTTTAAAATCTGAACTATGTAAGACTCTTATCTGTAGCACAAAACACACTCTTCCCTTCTATCTCACAGTTGCCTTAATAGCCACAGTAGAGTCAGTACTTGAACAATGTGACATTCTTCCTTACCTCTTCACTGAGACCGTACTCATATAATTATAGAATTAATTTACAGCAATAGCACAGATGGAGTGACATTATTGCTTACAAAATTACAATCACGTGATGCACTTATCCTTTCATTACTGAAAAAAGAATTAATCAGAAGTAATATGTATGTGTAACTTTTTACTTTCAAGCTCCGAGAGAAACTTTTTATGATTAGATGTTTGCACATGCCCCTGGCTGCTCCCAGACCCCTCCCGTGTTGCTGACTTCCATATATGAATCCACCACTGGAGATAGAGAATTAGCATTTAAATGCTATGGTATTTATTAAACTCTAGTTTACATGTAAAGTAGGAACCTTATTAATGGATAAATAAAATCTAAACTGGAACCAATCACAGCTTCTTTACTGGTCTCCTTACTTAGCGCGCACTTAAACTGACAATAAGAACTGCTGTTGAATCGGGTTTTGCATAAATAAAATCAGTCTTTAAAATCTCAGCTACATGATGCACAAAGAAGCCTGATTATTATTATTTTTTGCCACTGTGTGAGGTTTTTTTTAGGAAAGGTAGGCAGGGCTGTTTAAAATACACCACTAGTTAAACTGATTCTCTTCAGATTGGTTTGGCCATTGTGGGTGTTACTGTCATTGTAAATTAAGCACCTTAAGAAAGCAAGAGATAGAGAAAAGAGGAGATTAGCTAAAAAAATTAGGCCATTGCTAAAGGAGTTTCTGTTTGTAACTTGTTTTCAGGCTGTAAAATAGGGACGTGGTGGCACTGCGGGAAGCCTCAGTGCTGCAGGGTCAGAAGACCTGCAGTTGTAAGATCAAATCCACACAGCCTGGAGGCAGGCAGTGCATCATGGATTCTCCCAATCTGAAGAGACCCTTGTCCAGCAGGCCAAGGCAAAGAGGCAGTCCCGAAACCAGCAAAACCAGGGAGCTGGACAGGGGATAGATTGTATTTGTCTTCAGTGTGGAAGGGATTGTCACTCTCAAATTGGCCTTCTCAGCCACATTAGACACTGTTCCAAGTCCTCCATACAGAGCACATTGCCATAGTCTCTTGAGACTGAAGGATGCCTACTACACAATGGAGTGAGCGCCCGTCGCTTGTTCCAGCTCCTGCCAACCTAGTGGTTCGAAAGCATGCAAAATGCAAAAATGTGAGTAGATACGTAAATAGGTACCACAATGGTGGGAAGGTAAACGGAGTTCTGTGTCTAGTCACACTGGCCACGTGACCACGGAGGACTGTCTGTGGACAAAACGCTAGGTCTATGGGTTGGAAACGGAGATGAGCACCGCCTCCTAGAGTCGGACACGACTGGACAAATTGTCAAGAGCAACCTTTACCTTTTACCTTTTTTTCAGGCTGTAAAAGCAAAGAGGAATGTAAACTAATTAGTGCAGAGGAGACAGCTTGGAGCTTATCTTATTTTGCAGAAGAGGGTAGGGATGGGAACAAAGCCCTTTTCATCAGTGAGTGCCCAGAACCTGAAGAGTTACAGATTTTTTTTAAATCAGAGAACTGGTCAGACTGAGGCTGAACTCAAGAAAAGATTGAAAAATTGCTTTGCTGACAATGTTTAACAACTTGAGTCTGACTTGATTTAACTTAAATGATGAACAATGGACAGGGTTACCCTCAGCATCACTGGGTAAAAATTTTGATTCTTTTGTTTCTGTTCTAAATGAGAGAGAATTAAGTTTCCAATAAGCTCTCCATTGCCTCAGTGAAGAATGCACAGAACAAAGAATCTGTGAAGATTCTCAGTCATCCAGGTGAGGTTACATATCTGTAAATTGAGTCACGGCAACTGGACTTTTCTTATTTGTTTCAAATGTTTCAGTACTCATCCAAGTAGCTTCTTCAGTCTGAGGAGAGTCGGTAGGAGACTCTTGATATATCCTTCCCTGTTGGTTTCACTTCCCCCTGGTCCGAATAGGCTCCTTAGAAGGACGAAGGACTGGGGTTCAAGGACT